TCAGGATATACCAGTAGTGTGTTGTTGTATGTCAGGACATCAATTGATGTATACATTGAGTTACTCTTCATCACTCCATTCACTAACCAGTAAACATCAGTTGAAGGATTTATATCAGTAGTTGTGAGACAATCAATACGATATTGAGTGTTATTGAGTTGTTTAATGGATGAGACTAGTGTCCGATTGATTGAATAAATAACTAGAAATACATCAACAATGTTAATAGTACATTAAAAGGTCCAGTAGCAATACCTGTGGATAAGGTCTGTACACTGATTGTACTAACAGGTCCCAGTAATTGTTGATAGGCTCTGACTGTGATGCTATAAGTTGTTTCTATATTCAGTCCATTCAGTGTGATTGCATTATTACTACTTCCCTCCACCTGTACTGTCTGCACAGTGTCTGTGTCACTAGTGACATTGACTACATATCCATCAGCATCAGATGAATCAAGTGCAGTCCAACTGACAGTGATAGTGGTAGCTGTCTTGCTGATCTCAGTAAGAGAAGAGGGAGCAGTTGCTGGTACTATTATTGGTATCAAGAATTATTAGCATTCATTGACATTACCTTTTACAATTACATTACGTATTCTAACTTCATTACTACCAGGATGATCTGCTACCCTACACTGATACATTTGATCTCCAGTGATTGATTGACTGATTGATCCACTACTGACAATCATTCCATCCCATGTGATATCAACAGTATATCTTACTGTGTTTTCAACAGCACCATTTAACACAGTACCACCACAAGTATTACTAGGATCATGACAAGCAGTATAACTAGCCAGTGCAGTACTACCAATGCTCATACTAATATCATAGTCAGGGTGCCCTATTTTAATACAATTCAGTTTGTATTCCTGAGGATATACTGTCATATCAGAAGGAAAATCAGCCACAGTAAATAATTCTATCTCTGAATATCCTACAAATAAAAGTTATCACATCAGTAAGTGATTATAGTCTCCTAGCTCTTACTGAATATAGTAGCAGTGATGATGTTAGTACCAGGAGTTGAACAACTAGTGGGTAGACAACACATATACTGGCCATCACCATCTGCCCCAAGAAAGCCATTAGCTGGATTTATGTGAACACTGAGACTAGCACCTGACCCAACAGTACATTGAACATTTGCATTGTTACCACCATCACAAGGAACTACTCCATTAGGACCAATCCATTGCCCACCATTAAGAGTAGCACCAGGTAATCCACACTGTAAATATGAAGCAGTTGATGTTGATCTGATACTGCTATCAGTAAAAAACGATCCATTAGAAAAACAGTTTCCATTATGCCTCAGGTAGATACCTATAAAAACCTATACAGTTGTTATTATACACATCCAGTGTCTTACCTGAGGAAGGTGGACATTGACTAATAACTTCACTGACACTCAACAAGAAGACAGCTACTACCAGAAAAGACATGATTCTGCTATAGCATCAAGAGTAAACAAATCCTTATACTCCAATCATTGCTTCCTTTTGCATCACATGTCTACATAATGCACTCTGTTATGTACTCATTATTTAAGTACATGAGAACATAATCATACGCATACAACACTAAAAAAGTACGTATGCATATTTCTTTGATAGTACTGTATTGTATCTGTTAATAATAATAATAATAATAATAATAATAATAATAATAATAATAATAATGATAATAATTTTCCAAACAAACAAGGTGATATAAACAACACAGGTTGACAGTTATTAATAGAAAAAAAGAGGAAAGAGATGAGAAAAATGGCAGTAAGTATAATCAAAGGCTACAAACTCTTCTCCCTCATAAGAAATAAGGTGTTGTTATTCTCTGTAGTATGACCCTCTCATTATCAGGTACTCCTCTGATCTAATGACAAGTAAAGGAAATTAGTTTCATTTGGTTATCTGTATTACAATGAACTTGAGAACACAAACAGGAAAGTGTCCTATGCTAAATAAAGGTGTGAATTAGTTTCCAAAATTAATGTTTTCCTTGAAATCAAAATCATACAAATAGTATTATGTAATGGATGACATTTTTCTACTCTAAAGCTTGCTATAATGTTATTTGAATAATGTCCCACTATCTATTAGTACAGCAACTAATCCAGCATGCATGTGTGCATAGAGAAAGTTTAGCTCATGTTTCATATATATTAATGTCATCAACATGGTGTATGACATCATCAGTATCCAATGCTTCATAAACAGTAGGAGGCACAGCAGCAGCAGGTGGTTCATCAACAACAACAACAGGTTTAACCCGTTTTTCATGAGTAGTAGATTCATTCACAACAGGGAGTTTATTATCACGCTCCTCATAAATTACTGCTTTATTTAATTTATGAAGACCATATGATTCACATTCTTTCATTGTTATGTCTTCATCATTTCTATTGTTGTACATAATTATAATCCTAACATTATTAGACACACTGACTTATTTGCTTCTTCAGCAGAAGATTTACTTGTTTTTGCTGCAATGACAGGATATACAAATCTTTAGAAAAGAATTGAAAATATACATTATTTTTTAAAGGAGCATTGTTTTCTTACTTTATGAAACCATAAATATTGACAGCAAGACTAACAGCTAATAGAATCATCAGTATAGCTACAAAAATCCCCAGTCCAATAGCAGCACCATCATTAGATGCATTACAACTGCTGCTAGTAGTAGCTATAGAAAGTCTCATTCACAATCATTATGATTAGATCATACCTCCAATCTCTACTAAAATAGGATCACTGAAGGGACCTCTTCCAACAGAATTGACAGCAGCTACACTGATGTTATACTCACTACCAAACACAAGCTCATTTACATATACATTCTGTATAAGTACATTATATTTAATGAATCTACCACTGAGTTGAGAACAATTGATCTCATTCCACATAATCCTATTAGTATTTGGATTAACATGAAGAGATGTGGGTACACCTACAGGAACTGATAAAGAAATAATCTTAGATGATAAAACTTATATTTCATACTTGTGAACGATGTCCTAGCTGGTATAACGCTTGAATCAGATCCTCCTAGTACATTACAAGCTCTCACTGTGATGGTATAGTTCATACCACTGTACAGACCTATTAATGTATAACTGTATGTTGTAGTGGACTGATGAGGACCAACGGAGACTGTCTCATTCACTAATGATAACTGGGAACAAAATGGAGTATAGGAGATGGTGTAGTATGTTACATAGTTGTCACTACTGGGAATGGTCCAGTTCACTGTAATACCAGTGGTTGACACATTAGATACTGAGAGACTAGTTACTGGACTAGGAACTATAACAGATATCAATTACACTCTCTCAATCATAATAACTCACCATCAAATCTTAACACTGTTACTGTACTATTAACTGAAGGAAGATCTATATATGAGTACACACTGATGGTATAGGTACTCATTGGTGAGAGATGTGTTAATAGCACAATTTCATTTTTTCTAGTAGATACTACATTCCTGGTTACACCTCCAGTAGTATACTCAATCACATATCCATTAGTCTCTGATGAAGTGGTCCAGTTCACTTTGATACTATTAGCATTTAATATAAACCCTCTCACATTATTTGGAGGACTACTAGGAGCTAGAAAAAAGACAAAGGTATCTACTATTAAAGTATAATCATACCATGTAATATCACAGATTGATTGTCTTTGACTCCTCCAATCATTGCTATACAGGTAACATTAACTGACACTCCCAGTGGATCAGGATATACCAGTAGTGTGTTGTTGTATGTCAGGACATCAATTGATGAATACATTGAGTTATTCTTCATCACTCCATTCACTAACCAGTAAACATCAGTTGAAGGATTTATATCAGTAGTTGTGAGACAATCAATACGATATTGAGTGTTATTGAGTTGTGTAATGGATGAGACTAGTGTCCAATTGATTGAATTAATAACTAGAAATACATCAACAGTGTAAAAATTACATTAGCAGTAGCAGTATACCTGAAGTCTGTACACTGATTGTACTAGTAGGTCCCAGTAATTGTTGATAGGCTCTGACTGTGATGCTATAAGTTGTTTCTATATTCAGTCCATTCAGTGTGATTGTATTATTACTACTTCCCTCCACCTGTACTGTCTGCACAGTGTCTGTGTCACTAGTGGCATTGACTACATATCCATCAGCATCAGATGAATCAAGTGCAGTCCAACTGACAGTGATAGTGGTACCTGTCTTGCTGACCTCAGTAAGAGAAGAGGGAGCAGTTGCTGGTACTAATATTATTGGCATCAAGAATTATTAGCACTTATCAACATTAATTACCTTTTATAATTACATTATGTATTCTAATTTCATTACTATCAGGATGATCTGCTACCCTGCACTGATACATTTGATCTCCAGTGGTTGATTGACTGATTGATCCACTACTGACAGTCATTCCATCCCATGTGATATCAACAGTATATCTTACTGTGTTTTCAACAGCACCACTCAAATCTGTACCAGGACAATAGCCATTTCGATCATCACGACAATTAGTATAACTAGCCAGTGCAGTACTACCAATGCTCATACTAATATCATACCTAAAGTGTCCAATTTTAATACAATTTAGTTTGTATTCCTGAGGATATACTGTCATATCAGAAGGAAGATCAGCAACAGTAAATGATTCTATCTCTGAATATCCTACAAATGAAAATTATTACATCAGTAAGTGATCATAGTCTCCTCTTACTGAATATCTTAGCAAAAATGATGTTAGTGTTAGGATTCGAACAATCAGTTGGTAGACAACACTTGTACCAGCCATCACCATCTGCCCCAACATAGCTTGGTGGATCTATGTGAACACTGAGACTAGCACCTGACCCAGTAGTACATTGAATATTTGCATTGTTACCACCATCACAAGGAACTACTCCATTAGGACCAATCCATTCTCCACCATTCAGAGTAGCACCAGGTAATACACACTCTAGTACAGGAGTTGGTCTGATGCTAATGTCAGTAAAAAATGATCCATTAGTATAACAGGTTCCATCATGCCTCAGGTAGATACCTATAAAACCTATACAGTTGTTATTATACACATCCAGTGTCTTACCTGAGGAAGGTGGACATTGACTAATAACTTCATTGACACTTAACAAGAAGACAACCACTACCAGAAGAGACATGATTCTGCTCTAGTATCAAAAGGCAAACAGGTTCATCATGAATAATTATTGTTTCCTTTTATAATAACTATATCACATGTCTACATAATGCACTCTGTTATGTACTCATTATTTAGGTACATAAGAACATAATCATGCACATCAAACACAGTACACATGTATATTTTATTGATAGTATTGTAATGTATCTGTTAATAATAATAATAATAATAATAATAATAATAATAATAATAATAATTTTCCAACAACAAACAAGGTGATACAAACAACACAGGTAGACAGTTATTAATAGCCAAAAAGAGCAAAGAGATGAGAAAAAGACAGTAAGTATAATTAAAGGCTACAAACTCTAGTTCTCCCTCATAAGAAATAAGGTGTTGTTATTCTCTGTGGTATGACCCTCTCATTATCAGGTACTGCTTGAAACAGCTTTGCCTCTTTCCCCTCCAAGTTAGCATCTTTAATGATGAGTATGGATGCAATGTTACCACACCTGTAGCAGTAATTAGGAGCAGACCATACTGTCACTAGGCGCTGGTCAAACATGTATTTGATGCCCTCGTGGACTAACTGATGTGCCCTGCATATTAGCTTGAGGTTATTGAGATGCATAAACTAAGAGAAAAGGGAGAGATAGAAGGTGGAATTAAGAATTAAGATAAGTGGTTTGAAGTAAATCAAAAACAATGAAAGGGTATCATTGCATAAAAGGGAAATGCTACAATGACTACATACAAGTACATGTACACAGCATATTTTTTATAATGCTTTTTACTGACACTGTTATTGTTACTAATGGAACCAAGGCACAGTGTATTACATAGCAAGTGCCCTACAATAAACACAAGTTATTTATATAAAAACAGCTAGGGCCCATACCTCTTAAACATTCATAATAATTTATAAAAATAATAAGGTCCATCCATACCTCCTGGGTCACAGAATTACCAAACAAGTAGCCAGCTCCTCTAGGGCTAACTGCCCAGCCAGATATGTCCTCTGGATCTGACCAAACCAGATCACAGAATGTGCCTTCATGGGATATCTGTATTACAATGAGCATGAGAATGTGAACAAGAAAGTTTTCTATTATACTAAATAACAGGTGTGAATTAGTTTCCTAAATTAATGTTTACAAAATTAATAGTATGATGTGGCTGACATCTTTCTACTCTAAAGCTTGTTATAATGTTATTTGAATAATGTCACACTATCTATTAGTACAGCAATTAATACAGCATAAATGTGTGCATAGATAAAGTTTAGTTTATGTTTCATATATATTAATGTCATCAACATTATGTATAACATCATTAGTATCCAATGCTTCATAAACAGCAGGAGGTACAGCAGCAGCAGGTGGTTCATCAACAACAACAACAGGTTTAACTGGTTTATCATCAGTAGTAGATCCACCAACAACAGGTTTAACTGGTTCTTTATGAGTAGTAGATTCATTCACAACAGGGAATTTATTATCATACTCCTCATAAATTACTGCTTTATTTAATTTATGAAGACCATACGATTCACATTCTTTCATTGTTATGTCTTCATCGTTTCTAATGTTGTACATAATTATAATCCTAACATTATTAGACACACTAACACACTAACTTGTTTGCTTCTTCAGCAGAAGACTTACTTGCTTTTGTTGCAATGACAGGATATATAAATCTTTAGAAAAAAATTGTACATATATATTATTTTTAAATGAACATTTTTTTTCTTACTTCATAAAGCAGTAGATATTGACAGCAAGACTAACAGCTAATAGAATCATCAGTATAGCTACAAAAATCCCCAGTCCAACAGCAGCACCATCATTAGATGCATTACAACTGCTACTAGTAGTAGCTAT